GGCTTTTGTACCATTGACCCCGCATCCCTGAAAATGCTAAATATAATAATAGGACGGAGCGATGATCGCCGGCCCAGGCCACGTTTCACAGGGATGTACCAGAAGCTGGTCATTATCCTTGCGTTTGTGAGAGGGGGGGGGTACTCATGTTTTGCGTCCCTTCGTTGATTGGCCCATTGACTACGCGTCCGTCCTCTAGAAGACGGAGTATTATTCCCGCATGCCACAAGCGGGGGGGGGGGGCAGAGGGGTTGTCGAGGCGTTCGTCGAAAACGGAAGGCATGGTGAATAAATGCCGCAGTTAGTATTTATTTCGACGTCGCGTGTGTTTGGGTAATTCAGCCAGGCCAGGCCACGCCAGGGGACCCGCGGACTAGAAATCGCGTGCGCAAGGGTTTATCCCGCTGAAGTAACTGGCATGTTTTCATTGGTCAGCCGTGTAGTAGCGCAGTCAAACGCTACTACACAAATACACAACACGTACAACAGCGGTACGCACACACACACAAAGACACAAAAGAACAGCAGCGACACAGCCAAACACCCAACGGAGATCTCCTTGTCGCGTCAGCAGCAGCTGTAGCCAGCCTTGCACCTACCTGTAAGCGACGAGGGTGGCCTTCTCCAAGATAACCCTGGCGTTCGCCACGTCCCCGTGACCCTCGTAGAACTTGGCGAAGTCCATCCACAGCTTGTGGAGCTTGCCCGTCGCCTTCTTGGGGTCCACGGTTTTCACCGCCTGAGATGAGACGTGGCCGCGTGGCCAAGGTTGGGGCGGGGCGGGGGTACTCATGTTTTGCATGCCTTAGAGGTAAGACCACTGACCACGCCCCCCCCGAGAGGACGGGGCATTGTTCCCACAGGATCCGATCACCGATGATGGCCAATCATTCCCTCCTACTTTTGCAAAAAGGTGGTGGCCTCTAACATGATTTCCCTAGCCTAATCTACACTCTCAGCCCGGGGACGCGGTCTTGCACGGCCGTATACACGGTCTTCGTTGAGACCCAAAGACCAGCGCATGCTTGGGTCGGCGAAATGCTGCTGCGAAAATACTAGATGCACGAAGGGTGGTGGCTGCCATTATACCGGGAAAGACAAGAGAAAAAAAAAAAAAGTGGTAAAAAAAAACTAACACTCAAAACAAGCCCAGCATCCAGGCGGCTTTTCTCCCACTCACTACCGTCAAGACTAAGACTTCAACAAATGCCGCATCTACATCTCAAACGGCCAGTCTATTTTTTGTGATTGAACGTATTTTTTCTGGGAAAAAAAAAGAAAAAGAAGCACCTCGGTGTAGCAGATGATGGCCTTACGGGGGTCTTCCGCGAACAGCTTGACGCGCTTCTGCCACTCGTTGACGTTGTGAGGGTTTTGTCGGAGGAGCACGGAACTCACCTGCCCGAACCATATATGACGACGCACGCGTATACACAAACAGAACGCCCGACAACGTGCCAGTGACGATACCGGCAGGAAGGCAGAAAAACAGCGGAGGCCCGGTTGGTGCGTGAGTCCGTTTCAAAATAAAACGACGACGTCTAATGACCGCGTAAGCACACAGATTCCGCCCCCCCCCCCCCTCCTACCAACACAACGCGGCCATCTGCCGTTTCATCTTTTCGGTTCTTCGTCTTCCAAACCGAGCGCACGGAAACCTACCTGCCCGGGAAACAACGGAACCCCTTTCCAGCATATGCCTTTCGCCGCTCAACCCCCCGCCCCCCCCCCCCCTTCCGCCCTTACAGCAGAGGTCCCTGTTTAGTGCCGGTGCCCGATAGAGTGCCGCTGCCGCTGGTTTCGGCGGCACACACTGCATTTCCATGCCATTTCTCAATACCCTGAATAGTGCCGGTCCGGTAAATATACATCATGCCGGTGAATTTCTCGGCACACACACCGGCAACAAACACGGACCTCTAAGGTAAGGTACTCCCATACTCCCATCTGTACCAGAGACCGGGTCGGTATGTTTCCTCCCTCCCTCCCTTCCTCTCACCAGGATCGGGCGTCGCTCGAGGAGATGCTCCAGGCGCGCGAGCCGCAGCTCCACGTCGCCGTCCTCATCGAGGTCCGCTCCCAACCCGTCGGAATCGCTGTCCTCGTCGCTCTCCTGCGAGCCGCGGTTTGGAGGGGGGGAAGGTCAACGGTCAACGGTGTATCACCAAAAAACTTTAAGGACATCCCCTTCGCCTGCTGCGGTTATTTCTCGGGCATTGTAGTCTTTCTGTGTTTTTTTATGTACGTATTCTGCAAGGGGTTACATAGGTGTTGTTTGGGGTTGGTTGCTCCTGGGCGAACACGTGGGAACGAACAGGACAATACGAAACAGAAAAAAATATCTGTGTTTCACTGGGGGAAAAGCCACGCTCATGTTCACAGCAAGGAAGGACCGCAGTCAACAAGGACGCACAAGAAAAATTGGGACGCGCGGGCGCGTGTGTGTTCAAAGTGTTGAGTCGGCCTGGCTGGCTGTGAACATATGGGTGTCATGGGTACGTAAGCCTTTATACAAGAACAAGGATGCACACATACGCGAGAGGCGCACGAAAAAAAAAAAAAAGATAGGTGACCAGCATGAAGACCTCTCTCTGCAAGAGGGGCGCGGGCACGAAGAGATGTACACAGCAGTACTCGTATTCAAAAGGAAAGACAAGACATCAAAAATCAAGCGTTAACATTGCACACAATAGCGAATCTGTGTCAACACCCACAAGAGCGATAGATCCCGCAAAACACAAAAAAAAAGAGAGAGAAAACGGGGGGCATTCCCAACACAACACAACACCACGAGTCCTGGACTTGGCCGTACACACCTCCGCCATCCGCATCTTGGCCGTGAGCACGCTCTCCTCGAACTGGGTGTAGGCGTCGAACACCATGGTGAAGTCTCGAACCGTCACCTGTTCCGCCGCAACAACAACAACAAAAAAAAAAACAGCAAGATCAAGATCGCTCAAAAATAGACTCAAAATAAGCCCAGTATCCAGTCGGTTTCTCTTCCGTTCCCTGCTGACAAGACTTCAACACCCCTCCTTCGACGCTGTGGGTGCATCTATCTCGAACGCGCAAGTCTCTCTGTGTTCGTATATACAAGAATGGCGGCGACGGCGCGAGCCAGGCACGCATTAACCCAAGGCCCCGGGTCGACCACCACAGAGAGCCCAGCAGCAACACGAGCCTCACTGCGGTGCGCCAAACCAAATGTTCGATCGATGGCGCGATCCTTCCTTTCATTCTTATCACACAAGAAGTGTACATTACAGTCATCAAAGGAAGACTAGTCGTTCCAAATATAACCACGGCAGTCGAAGGAGATTGAGGTCTTGACAGTGAGAGGGAGGTTCTTCCAACTACTGCTGCTGCTGATGAAAAATCCGCCGCCTATGCCCGCTCCGGGCTCTGTCCTGCCGAACTAGACGCACAAAGGCTTAAAAATAAACTATACCACTCTCTCTGCTGTGTGCCGACTGTCGGTGTCCGGTTGTGGGGCGGGCGGAAGGCACAGGACAAAGTGGGACACAGAGCAGTAGCCCTCACAGAAGAGACCGGGTTTTCTAAAAATAAATCGGAGGCCCGTGAGGAGAACACCCGTCTACACACACCCTACGGCGGTAGACCCTTCGTTTCCCCTCTTCCGCTCAACTAGACGGGGGGTCTTGAACATTGTCCGCGGGTATATTCCCATTCACGGCACCCCCTTTTCACTAACAGCACGATCCGCGTGCCCCCGGAGAGCTCGCAACATTCGACACCTACGACTGCTACCGAGGCAAGCGCTTACTTGCGCCTTGCGATTATATCCCCGCGGCGGAAACGACGACAACGTGGTGTGTGTGCGTGTGTGTGTACTCATAGCCGTGTATGCCGTACAATTGTAGTCGTTAGACCATTGACTCTCGGCTCCCTACCAAGCCGGGACGGAGCACGCCTGGTTCTCACCGGACCAGGCTCTCACAGTACCAAGCGCGAAGCGCCGTGAGGCATTCGGCGAGTCGGCATGGAGGGCGCGCTGCATCCTGCTAAGGGTGTTCGGCATTTGTGTACTTACGGCGTGGGGGGGCGGGGGGGGGGGGGGTCGTTCGGTCTCTCACCACACTGTTGATGGCTTCCTCGTAAACGTCGCGGGCCCTCTCGAACTGACCCAGGCGGATGTAGTAGTCCGCCAGCTTGCACCACAGCCGCCCCACCTCGTCGGTGAACCTCGACAGCCCGCTGCGGATGATGGCGTCCACCTGTACCATGCCAACAATGGTTGGCGGTGTAAATTACTTCCCTACAGCCTTGTGGTGCATACTTGTAGCACCAGCATTGTTTTACGGGATATGCAGTATTACCATAAACATACAGCCTTGTGTTATATCGCCAGCAATGTTCTACGGTGTATAACATAACCATATACATATGCAGCCTCGTGTTAGCACCAGCTGTAGTTGCGGTGTGATACAACAAAAAAAACTATTTGTGTCACGGCGGTCGTGGCGTGCTGGGTCATGCCCTGCGTACGACATGCCGTATGCCATCTTGTGCTTTGTATTTTCCCACGCCATGCCATGACCGTGCAGTCGATCGCACGCATAGTCCTTCCACTCGCTTTCCTAGTTAAATTCTCCAACAAAAAAAGAAGATGGCATCCAAGCGGCCTACCTGACCACGGCTAGAAGCCGCTGTTGCATACGCTTTGGCGACAAACAAACAACAAACAGCAACCAATACAAAACCACCGACCTGAGCAGCAGCAGCAGCAGTAAAGTGACACACGTGCACTTCGACTCGAAGGTATCTACGTAAAACTGAGTGGAATTCATCCACCAGCCCATTTTGATCTAGCGTGGTCAATGGTCTAACAACTATGGCACGCACAACATGAGTACCCCCCCCCCCCCC